GTTACAAGTTGTTCCAACAACTTGTTATTGTTGTGAGTGACAACCTTGTAGCAACTTGATAAAATAACCGCATTGTTTACAACTTGTTGACAAGCTTGCTACAAGCCTGTTGCGAACACGTCTTATACACGCAACAAGCCGTCGACAAGTTGTGTTCGCACTGCCTGTCACAAGTTGTCAACAAGTTTTGGAACAAGCTGTTAACAACTTGTAACAACCTTGTTGGTATTATCTGACTTGTTACAAGGTTGTTCCAACAAGTCCGATACAGTCATGATATAACAATATTGTTACAACCTTGTGTCGTCAACCTTGTAACATTCTTGTTATATCATGACTGCATCAGACTTAGAACAACCTTGTGACAAGTCCGATAATGCCATCAAGCCTTCTACAAGTTATTCCGCTTGTTCCAAACTCGTAACAGCTTGTTCCAAACTTGTTACAACAACGGCATAGCCAGAAATGAGGGTCATAGTGATTACGCAACACTAAGTGATCACCCGTGCCTGATTCCCAATATTTATAGTAAATTGTGTTACTAATTCAACAATACAATACAATTCCTGAGATGCGAAGATCGAATTCGGTCAAACAAATGCTAGCGATCAAACTGAGCCTAAAATTGTTGTCTCGATGTCGACAAACCTTGTCCCTGAGAAATTCAAAATCACCAGCGAATCTGTTCACAAGCTGTCGACAAGTTGTGTTCGCACTGCTTGTTCCCAGTTTGTTGTAACAAGTTTGGAACAAGCTGTTAACAACTTGGAACAGGCTTGATGGCATTATCAGCCTTGTTACAAAACTGTGCTAACAAGTTTGTTACAACCATGATATAACAAGGATGTTACAAGGTTGTCAACACAAGGTTGTAACAATCTTGTTATATCAAGCATGTAACGGACTTGTCAGAACAACCTTGCAACAAGTCTGATAATTTCGACAAGGTTGTTACAAGTTGTCAACAAGTTGTTCCAAACATGTTGACAAATTGTGACAAGCAGTGCGAATACAATTTGTTGACGGCTTGTTGGCAGACTTGTTACAAGATGTGAGATTTTTACGTGTATAGTTTCCAAACCTGTGAGAGTTATAACAAACCTGAAGCAGACTTGTAGCAATGCTGTTCCAACAACTTGCTAATCAACGTGCTCAAAATAAAAACGAACGTGTTGAAAGTCAGAATGAACGTGCTCAACGTGAAGACCTTCCCAGCAAATACCCCCAAAATTTCCAAGTAATCAGCAATGCAAAGGAACAGAAGTTCTTAAATACTATCATTATAATTGCATCTATTGCTGTCGTTACATCGATGCCTGGAGCAATTTATTTCCAGCTTCATGGAATGGTTGCATCCTTAGAGGGAAACCGCATTCTTCTTGTTGTTGGAAGTGCGATATATTGTCTTAATTTTGCCGCTAATCCTTTCGTCTATTGCTTGCGTTTGAAGCGATATAAGAAAACATTTAAAATGGTCTATGGTTGCAAACATTGAATTAGGGACGGATCATTATTTATGAAGGTGGCACCGAAGAAAAATGCAACATTTTGCTGATCCTACCATTAAAAAGTTATAAAAAAATTTTACCCAACCTTAAATATCAATTAAAAAGAAATACCCACCTCTGTCCAAAAACTTTACAAAATAATACCATTCAGTTGTCATACATGTCCTTTACCACTTCTGCATGTGACATGAATTTGATAATTCCCCTGTAATAATTTGTGACTGTTAATAAAAACGTTTTGTACTGATAAAGCGGATTAATAAACTTGACGTGTTATATATAGTTGCTAAATAAAAAGTTTATTGAAGGTTGTAAATAATATACTCGCTGTATAATGATTAAGAAAATTTTAATTAAAATCCGATGTTAAGTTTAATTTATAAGCAATTAAAAGCCGATTATGAAAGTTTTAATATTGATCACAAATCTTGCAAGGGCCAAAGTACATAATAAGTACAGAAAAAATTTGACCTTTTCGGCGCAAGGATCACGTGTATAGCGACATGTGACTAAAAATGTAAACGAATGTGTACAAGTTGTTACAGGTTTGCAAACAAGTTGTTACAAATCTGTTCACAAGCTGTCGACAAGTTGTGTTCGCACTGCTTGTTCCCAGTTGTTGTAACAAGTTTGGAACAAGCTGTTAAAGTGCATGTGACATGAAATTTATTATTTTCTTAAATGAAAGAACTCTTTAAGCTGTAGTGTAACTTATATTTCAGTTTCTTGTTTTTATGGTTTGTTCCCGAGATATTTCAATTTGTTTGATATGTAAATGAGTGTGAATATGTCCGCTAATTTATGACGTCATGTTGGTTGCAAGCTCAACTTACACTGGTTTTAAATGTATTAACTCTAAAAACTGAAGATATCAGTTCACGTTTTTCTCCAGTGTTTCATCACATTTACCGGTGAGTGAAGTTTGAAGTTATCGTCTTGGATAATAGCAATGATATTCAACCATTTTGAGGAGCTTGCAACCAACATGACGTCATAAATTAGCGGACATACTCACACTCATTTACATATCAAACAAATTGAAATATCTCGGGAACAAACCATAAAAACAAGAAACTGAAATATAAGTTACACTACAGCTTAAAGAGTTCTTTCATTTAAGAAAATAATACATTTCATGTCATATGCACTTTAACAACTTGTAACAAGCTTGATGGCATCATCAGACTTGTTACAAGGTTGTTGTAACAAATTTGATACAGCCATCATATAACAAGAATGTTACAAGGCTGATCACACAAGGTTGTAACAATATTGTTATATCATGACTGTATCGCACTTGTTGGAACAACCTTGCAATAGGTCTGATAATATCAACAAGGTTGTTACAAGTTGTTACCAGCTTCTTCCAAACTTGTTGACAACTTGGGACAAGCAGTGCGAATACAACCTGTTGACGGTTTGTTGGCAGAGTTGCTACGTTGTTATAGATCTGCAAACAAGTTGTAACAAGGTTGTTGTCAGGACGATATCAGGATGTGTTCGCACTGCTTTTTCCCATCGCTAGCACAGACCGAGTTTAAATTTTAAAATTATATATATTCCTAGACATTGACGGATTGAAAGCTTTTCGCAATAACAGACTTTGTGTTTTCATTAAAAGACAATTAAATATTAATCTACACCGATCTTCATTACAAATTTTATTTCGTCGAAGCATCGCAAGCTGTGTGCACGATGTCTTTCAGAAAAAGCTTCGATGTTATCTATTTGCCACGATGTATAATCTGTTGTATCGGGATCCTAGCGAATTTAATGCTGTTGATCGCTTTTATTAAAGACCCTTTAAAATGTTTTCGAAATTCTGCGACGTATCTTGTTGGTAATCTAGCTTTGTCTGACTTGCTCGTTAATCTGACGTTGATAACGGAGACTTCTCTCGAGTCCGAGAATGCAGTTGTTGTCTTTTTGCAAACGTTTTCATTCTATTCATCAATGTGGACAATTTTTTCGACCGCTCTTGATCGATACTTGATGATAATGTATCCGTTCAAGCATCGGTTCCTAATGAGTGGGAAAAAGATGGCAATGTGGATCGCTTTTATTTGGTTTCTAAGCTCCTTTCATCCGGTGAAGAATATTTTTACTCGCAACGAAAATGATGCCAATGCAAAACCAGGGATCGCTTTAGTCTTGGTACTATTCACCGCCGTTGTCTATGGCAAAACTTATTTTGCGTTACGAAAGCAAGCGAGATCCATGATTGGTAGAAAAACTACATTTTCTTCGAAGCAAAGTCAGTATGCGCCTAACAAAAGCAGTTCGATAGAAAGCGAAACTTGTGTTGGAAGTAATAATCATGTTAAAAATGGGATTGAACGTGATCAAAGCCTAGATGAACCTGCTCGAAATCAAAATCATCGTGCCGAAAAGCAGAATGTTCGTGCCCAATTTCAGTATGAACGTGATGAAATTGAAAATGAATGTGCTAAAAGTCAGAATGAACGTGGTCAAAGCCTTGTTGAACGTGCTGAAAATAAAAATCGTCGCGCCCAAAACCAGTATGAAGGTGCTGAAATTGAAAATTTACGTGCTGAAAGTCAGAGTGAACGTGATCAAAGCCTGAATGAACGTGCTGAAAATCAACATAATCGTGCCGAAAAGCAGAATGATCGTGCTCAAAATCCGTATGAACGTGCTGAAATTGAAAATGAACGTGCTAAAAGTCACAATCAACGTGCTCAGAACAAAAACGAACATGTTGAAAGTGAGAATGAACGTGCTCAACGTGAAGACCTTTCCTCCAACAAAAGGCCTAAAAATTTCCGTGTAATCAACAATACAAAGGAACAGAAGTTCTTAAACACTATAATTATAATTGCATGTATTGCCGTCGTTACAGTGATGCCAGGAACAATGTATAGCCTGCTTCGTGGTACGGGTGTATCCTCAGACACAAACAGCATTCTTGCTGTTGGAAGTGCGATATTTTCTCTTAATTTTGCCGCTAATCCTTTCGTCTATTGCTTGCGTTTGAAACGATATCGCAAAACGTTTAAAATGGTCTATGGTTGCAAACACTGAATTGGGGGCGGGTGATTATGTGACATGAATTTGATAACTCGGCTATGATTTGTGAGTGTTATTAAAAAACTCATTAATAATTCATGACGAAAACACAAAGAAAAATCATAAGCGTGTCGTATCTGTATATGTGATACAGATTCATGTTGATTTATATAAATTTTAACTTTGATTTTCTCGGCTTAGACAACGTTTATTTTTAAATTTACTTCGCCAATGAACTCATAAGATGAGTCGTTTTTTAAGCCATTTAAGCATTCGCGTCCGTGTTGTATCGGATATACAAACTCTCGTTTTCGGCTGTGAGATTATTCCAACACTTTGTCAACAAGTTGTGTTCGCACTGCTTGTTCCCAGTTTGTTGACATGTTGTCAACGACTTGTTGACAACTTGCAACACGGTTGTTGAGCTCAACAGACTTGTTACAAGTTGTTTCAACAACTTGCTATCGTTGTGAGTGACAACCTTGTAGCAACTTGATAAAATAACCGCATTGTTTACAACTTGTTGACAAGCTTGCTACAAGCCTGTTGCGAACACATCTTACACACGCAACAAGCCGTCGACAAGTTGTGTTCGCACTGCTTGTCCCAAGTTGTCAACAAGTTTGAAACAAGCTGTTAACAACTTGTAACAACCTTGTTGGTATTATCTGACTTGTTACAAGGTTGTTCCAACAAGTCCGATACAGTCATGATATAACAATATTGTTACAACCTTGTGTGGTCAACCTTGTAACATTCTTGTTATATCATGACTGCATCAGACTTAGAACAACCTTGTGATAAGTCCGATAATGCCATCAAGCCTTCTACAAGTTATTAACAGCTTGTTCCAAACTTGTTACAACAACTGCATAGCCAGAAATGAGCGACATAGTGATTACGCAACACTAAGTGATCACCCGTGCCTGATTCCCAATATTTATAGTAAATTGTATTACTAATTCAACAATACAATACAATACAATACAATACAATTCCTGAGATGCGAAGATCGAATTCGGTCAAACAAATGCTAGCGAACAAACTGAGCCTAAAATTGTGTTGTCTCGATGTCGACAAACCTTGTCCCTGAGAAATTCAAAATCACCAGCGAGACCGTAGTGAATTAGTTAACAAAAAGCATGAAAAATTGCAAAATACCCTGTGAAAATCCTTCGCTGCGCGTTATAGACAATACAAATTCCTACATGCGAAGCTTGTTCCGGCAAGATGAGGTTCTTACGGCTTTGAATGATATAAAAACGAAGAAATATATTGTTCCCTGGCCATAACTCGGTGAAATTTCGGTCAATTTCTTCTCCAAAACTATTGTTTTGAAGCTCGTTTCTTGCTTGTCTTTAATAACATGCTTTTAAGTCATATGCGCATGTTTTTATCGTTAAATACCGCTGAAATCTCGGGTTTTGAGCAATCCTAATGAAACCGAAGGCCAGACGAAAGCCGCGGGACATACCTGTAGATTTTATTGTTGTGGAGGTAGCCAATCTTTAAATGGAGCTAGACTATGCCACATTCTCGTACCCAGAGCCCGTCTTACACGCGATCAACAGAGCATGACAAGGGTAGCAGGTACGATCGGCAGTTGCGCTGCATTTGCCGCAACTGCAGATCAAAATTTAGCCTCTGAACGGCAACACAATGCCAAGTGTGCCAAGTATAGAAGTGCATTCTGAGTGCATTCTTGCAGTTATTCTAGTTAGACAGTAACTCCGGGCTTAGATAACAAGCTCCAAATGATTTTTGGAATTAGCAACACAGCAAGTAACTTCAAGCTTTATACATACCTAGCGGCTAGGCTGGCTTGCCTCGCTACACAATACTTTTTGGAGTTAGACAGTAACTCAAGGCTTAGGTACCTAGTTTTTTCATGATTTTTGGAGTTATTCTTAGCTCCAAATGATTTTTGGAGTTAGCCAGTAACTCCAGGCTTAGATGCTTAGCACCTAAATGATGCTTAGCTCAGTTAGCTGCCAAATTTGGAGTTATACCTAGCTCCAAACGATTTTTCGAGTTTGCCAGTAACTCCACAATTCATATTTCAACTCATACGTTTTGAATTACACAAGTTATTCAAGTGTATATTTCGGTTTGGAGTTGGCCCTTTAGACTTTGGAGGTAGCGTCGCTCCATAACTTCCTACTTTCTACAGGCATGCCGCGGGATATCGATAAACCTCCGGATCGTATATCACAAAATATTTCAATTACTCATTGACTTACATGTCGCATATTTCTGGCTATGTGGGAACAAGCCGTGCGAAGACGCATATTTGTAACAACTACACGCGTAAAAACGCACAAGTTGTAACAAGTCTGCAAACAAGTTGTTACAAGTCTGTTCACAAGCTGTCGACAAGTTGTGTTCGCACTGCTTGTTCCCAGTTTGTTGTAACAAGTTTGAAACAAGCTGTTAACAACTTGGAACAAGCTGTTAACAACTTGGAACAAGCTTGATGGCATTATCAGCCTTGTTACAAAACTGTGCTAACAAGTTTGAAACAAGCTGTTAACAACTTGGAACAAGCTTGATGGCATCAGCATTGTTACAAGACTGTGCTAACAAGTTTGAAACAAGCTGTTAACAACTTGGAACAAGCTTGATGGCATTATCAGCCTTGTTACAAGATTGTGCTAACAAGTTTGAAACAAGCTGTTAACAACTTGGAACAAGCTTGATGGCATTATCAGCCTTGTTACAAGACTGTGCTAACAAGTTTGAAACAAGCTGTTAACTACTTGGAACAAGCTTGATGGCATTATCAGCCTTGTTACAAGACTGTGCTAACAAGTTTGAAACAAGCTGTTAACTACTTGGAACAAGCTTGATGGCATTATCAGCCTTGTTACAAAACTGTGCTAACAAGTTTGAAACAAGCTGTTAACAACTTGGAACAAGCTTGATGGCATCAGCCTTGTTACAAGACTGTGCTAACAAGTTTGAAACAAGCTGTTAACAACTTGGAACAAGCTTGATGGCATTATCAGCCTTGTTACAAGACTGTGCTAACAAGTTTGAAACAAGCTGTTAACAACTTGGAACAAGCTTGATGGCATTATCAGCCTTGTTACAAGACTGTGCTAACAAGTTTGAAACAAGCTGTTAACTACTTGGAACAAGCTTGATGGCATTATCAGCCTTGTTACAAGACTGTGCTAACAAGTTTGAAACAAGCTGTTAACAACTTGGAACAAGCTTGATGGCATTATCAGCCTTGTTACAAAACTGTGCTAACAAGTTTGTTACAGCTATGATGTAACAACGATGTTACAAGGTTGTCAACACAAGGTTGTAACAATCTTGTTATATCAAGCATGTAACGGACTTGTCAGAACAACCTTGCAACAAGTCTGATAATTTCGACAAGGTTGTTACAAGTTGTCAACAAGTTGTTCCAAACCTGTTGACAACTTGTGACAAGCGGTGCGAATACATCTTGTTGACGGCTTGTTGGCAGACTTGTTACAAGATGTGAGATTTTTACGTGTATAGTTTCCAAACCTGTGAGAGTTATAACAAACCTGAAGCAGACTTGTAGCAATGCTGTTCCAACAACTTGCCATCAGGATGTGTTCGCACCGCTTGTTCCCAGCTTGTCGACAACTTGCTACAAGGTTGTTGAGCTCAACAGAGTTGTTCCAAGTTGTTCCAACAACTTGTTATCGTCCTGTAATTCAACAATTTGTCAACAAGTCGTGGGTGACAACCTTGTAGCAACTTGATAGAATAACAGCATTGTTACGACTTGTTGACAAGCTCCGCTACAAGCCTGTTGCGAACACATCTTGTTGAGAAGTCGTGAGATTTTTACGTGTCCACTATACCAATTAAAACAGGTTAAATGTTGTCCTGCATATGTCCAAAATGTTACCCGTTACGAAACGGTCTATGCCTCGAAAGAATGTATATATGTTTGACCAACATATGTAACCAGAGATATGTAACCGTTATTTCATATTTTCAGGGAGCGAGCCGAGCGTGAAAAAGAGGCCGCGAAAAATCATGAAAATATCGATTCTGACGATGACGATGTTGTCTTTGGAAATGTAAGATCATTTTAAATAAATATTATTTGAATATGTCGTGTATTGCCGTAAACCTCCGACTATAAGCCCTGGGCTTATATACTTTCGTAAGCGATTTTTGATGGGCTTATACAAGGGGGGGGGGGGCTGGGGGGGGGGGGGCTTATACATGGACGATCTTTTGTGTTAGTAATAAACAAGTCAGACATAAACAAGCCAGTCATAAACAGGAAAATAAACATGTAAAACGCGCTTTGATTCACATAGTCGGCTATAAAGACAATGACAATGTTTTTAAATATCATTCTCTGCTATATCAAATAACAATGTCTATGTTGAATAACGTAGTGGTCTACTGGGCTTATATTCGGGGAACTTATATTTGGGGGGAGGGGCTTATATTCGGGTGGGCTTACATTTGGGTGAGCTTATATTTGGAAGAGGTGAGCGTTAGTATATGTGGTGGGC